AAAAATTTATGTGTTTAGGTAAATTAAATTACTGTATGTAAATAAAATAATAATGACTCTTGTTGAATTTTTCAACTTTAGTCATCATAAAAGAGCAAGATCACAAACTTTTAACTTTCGTTACGTTGTTTGCATTAAAATAAAAATTAAATAAAAATGGAGTAAAATTGTACAATAAACCTAGATAAAACAAGCATTCTGAGAGTGTTGCATTAGCAATACTAGTCCCCTACCGGCAAGTGTAATCTGGTTCCCGTTAAAAATTGAAAATGCCATAATTCCGCCAAAAATCAATGAAGCGGAACGAAATGCAAAGTTAATATATAACTAATCAAGGTAAAGTCACATACCAAAAATCAGCTCAATATCTTCAAGCGTTTAGAAAAAATTGCGGAAAACCCTTAAAAATTGAAAAGGTCCTAATTCCGTCAAAAATCAATGAAGTGTAAAGAAATGCAAACTTGATCTGTAACTCATCAAGATACACTCACATACCAAAAATCAGCTCAATATCTGCAAGCTTTTAGGAAAAAAAGTGCGGAAAACCAAGTGGGACAGACAGACAGCTAGACAGACGGACGGACAGACTCAGAGGAAACCTATAGTCCCCTCCGGTTTCACCGGTAGGGGACTAATAATTAATGTAGAGAACTACTTAGTCATAGACTGCTGAGTTCTTTAAACAACCGATGGGGGACAATAGTATATTAATATCCTCACGGTTAATTCCTATCCTAGCTAAATAAATTAAATAAAATAAAATTGATTCCCGAATAAACATTAATAGAATAAAAGATAGAGAAAAATAAAAGTTGAAATATTTTTTTTAAAAAAAATCCAAAAGTTCCGTAAAACGGACCAAATCAAAATTAGCAGAAGACTCACAAAAAATTGCCGTCGCCCGCGTGGCGCAGTGGTTAGAGCGTTCGCTCTAGAGTCGCGAAGTAAGGAGTTGATCCTTACGTCGCGGGTTCGAATCCCACTGTGGGACATGGAGACCGGTCCTTCGGATGAGACCTATATACCGAGGTCCCGCGTCGCAGTCGGTTTTTACTGGCACGAGAAAGATCCCTCACAGCTCTTCACGCATATGGAGACGCCACCATTTGCCGCGGTGGAAAACTGCAAATTGTGTCCTATACTCGGCACTTAGGGCCATTGAGCAGTGAGGGATCTTTTTCGTGCCAGCACCTACTGCGACACGGGACCTCGGTTTATACGCTCTCATCCGAAGGACCGGCCTCCACGTCCCGCAGTGGATTCGAACCCGCTACGTAAGGATCAACTCCTTAGATCGTGACTCTACAGCAAACGCTCTAAGGCCAAAATAAAAAATACCTTTGTTTCCCCTAACGCGACCGAGCCACTTAAATCGTGCCCACTGAAAAGTTTTTTTTATTAAGATTATTTAAATATTTTTTTTATTGTTTATCAAATTTATAAAATATAATTTCATCAAAATCCGTTTTTTATCAGAACGGCGGATTTTGTTTTACTCTCATTTGGTGCCGACAACATGTGGCCACAGAGGGTTAGTTCGTGTTATTATATAAATAGTGCACGTTTTTGAGGGTAACAGTTGAAATTGACACCCCAAGGAAAACCATTGTCAACCGACGCGTCAGCGGAGGTTGACAATGGTTTTCCGAGGGGTGTCAATTTCAACTGTTACCCTCAAAAACGTGCACTATTTATTTTATTATACTGAATGTCTAATTGATTTCGGATGTCATAAAAAAATTCGGAGATCGTCAAGTTCACGCTTAGAAAGCTTTCAAACTCCCCGCTTCTATTTTTCTCAATAAGAAAGCTTCGGAAAAGATTTACCAACCTCTTTATTGTTTGATTGCTGCTCAAAAAGTCCTTTATCATCTAAAGTTTGCACTCGCAAGGATGTTTCGTCTGTCGTTTGTTGTTTTCAAGTAAGCTACATCGGACGCAAGCTTTTATTGACGTCGTTTATTCGGCTTCTTTCAAACGCACAACCGACGTTTTGAGAATTCTACGGTGAACCGTACGCGCATGATTTGAACGCATGTGACATTTTCGTAATGTTACCCGTTGTCAAGTGTGTTTCTAACGCTGAGGGTACCATTACGGATTGTTAAATGCGTCTAAACCAATCAGATTTTAGTATTTAACATGAAAGTATAATAAAAAAACAATGGTGACGTATCAATCTTATTATATCTTTAACTTATTAGAATCCTACACTCTTGAGACATCTCGTGAATTAATGTACCATGACTAAGGAGTGTTAAGATGGTATATAAAAATGTGTCTTCTAAAATTAACGTACGTAGTACGCATAGCAAAGCCTGCCTCATGAGCAGATGAGGGGCGCTCCTCGTGAATACATATCAATAAGTCTCACTGCATTTGATTCGTTTCGATCTAATAAACAGTTAATGTATGATCCTATTTTTACTATATAGGACCATAGGAGTTGTAAATATGTCTTTGTATGATTATTTCATTTGATAAATATAATTCAGATGTCGTTTCTTTATTCCTTTTATTTATGGGGTATTGTCTCCGTGACTATAAAATTAGATATATGATACTTTAATCATTTTAGATATGGCTGGTTGAATTATATATTGTTTATACATGTACACTATTTCCAAATAGTGTTGAAATCTTTAAAATTTGCTTATGGTACGGCTTCCGGAGACGTCCAGTTTATTTTTCTTTAGTTAATTCTTGAAAACAGGTTGTTTCTTTGCTTTAAAATACCTTTAAAATTTGTTGGGCCGGTGGAGGGCCCCTAATTTAGACTTTTACTCGGCATTTATGGCCTTTGATCATTAAGCATCAGTAAGGGATCTTTTACATGCCATCTACATGTATACTCCGACACTGGACTTACGTTTTTATGGTCTTATTCGACTGACCGGTCCGCAAGTCCCACGTCGGGACCTGTGACTTAGAATAAGCTCCCGAATTACGTCGTGACTATAAAACGAAACACTAGAATTACTGTGCCACGCAAGGCCCTTGACATTTTGTCTGTGTAAGTACTCGAAGATGATAGTAGGTTTGAAAAATGTACTCGAATGTCCAATGGTTCAGTATTTGCGAATCTTGTGTTTTTTGTAAATATTCGATTTCAATAAATTTGCGCTAGCCTGAGATATTTCACAAGTTCAAATGAATAATATTTGTGAATTAATTTACCATACATGTTGCTTCATTTGTATGATATTCGGTTTAAAAATTGGTTTCTTTTGTTCTTTATTTATTAAGATATTATTCAATTTTTCAGAATGTATTCCCAAACCTGCTGTCAGAAAAAAATAATTTACCTACCTACCAACCTAACTTGAGATTTTTGGGTCGGGTTAGGGGAAACAAAGATATTTTTAATGATGGCCTAACCACTGCGCCACGCGGGCGACGGAAGTACGTCGTAATGAAGAGCGAAACTGTCAAACAATGTGACATCAGAAGTTGAGACTATTATATCTTTTAGATAAGACTAAACAAACAACATTCACATATTGTTGCACATAGTTAAAGTCTTACAATGTATACTTAACTATTGATTTATAAATGACATACTTTTCTTCATCTTCTACCAAACTCTAACTCAGTTTGAATTATCTCAGTCATGTTTATGTTAGCAAAATATATTAATCTATCTACTCTTGATCACAAGTATATACATTAAATAACTTAGGTACAACTGAACGAATAGCACATTCATAATGTGTTTACGGTGTGACCGTTGGGGCGAGCGCAGTGGTACCATCAAAAACCTATACACAGCTTACACTTGTAACGTTGATCCGCGTCTTCAAATTTTAATCTGCAAGATACACAGACTAGACCGTGACGTCATATGACGTCGGAATTTACGGAGACAGCCGAGCGTCTGGTTGAACAAGATGGTACCGTGGGACAGACTATAGTCTATTGAATGAAATACGTTGTAGAGTTACTCAGTATAGATGCAATATTTTTTGTTTCTTTAAGCTCTCAGTAAAGAATGAAAAGTAAACGTATCTCTTGGCAAGGAACAATTATCCTTGGTCTTTTGTATGTTTTTAATATTTTCGCATGGAATCCTGGTAGGGAAGGAATTCTGGGATTGTTGCACAAGAAAATTTGCCTGACGAATGTACAGATTTCTTTTCGAATTTCCTGTGTTCTTACACGTTAGTCTATTGAGCGGCGCTTCGCACCACTCGCTGCGCTCGCTATAAAACAAAAATATATCTTCTTGAGTAAACGAACTTCGTTAATCCGCTCCCAATCACCTTAATATATGATAACATATTATAGACATCGACCCTATTTAATAGAAAAATCAACCTAATCCAAGATCACACAAATATAGTAAAATATATTACAGTCATTGACTCAGAATAATAAAAAACCGTTGTGGATTAAATAATTAATTAAGGAATGAATTTAATAGCTACCCATTTTATACGGTATAAACTGGGTTGGGGCAGTTTAAGCGTAAACTGTTCCAACCCAGTTTATATCGTATAAATTCATTCCTTATAATTTAATTTTCATTCATTTGGTGTAAGAAAAAAAAAGATGATTGTCCTTAAAAAATGACTTCAATTTGTACAAAATTTGAATGTAACGTCAGGCGGATCGATATGTTTTTGACGCAAGTCATTGTGACGTAAGCAACCCATTTTATACGATATAAAGTAAATTTTTTATCCAATCAAATACAGCGTTACAACCAGAATTAAATTATTGTCATATGACATTGCATAAAATAAAAGGGAGGTCACATACACTACTATGTGTTTATAATAGGGAAAAGGAAAAGTTGTCAGATTTCTAATGAACAAATAGTTTTTCTAATGAACAAATAGTTTAGCTTGTATAAATATATCAATCGATGGTCATATCAAATTTACACAATGGATTACAAACTTTGATATGAATACTTCCTCTATCAATGTTTTATCTATCACTTGACCAAAACAAACTGAAACCATTACTTCAATGTACAACATAGAAATAAAGAGAAGGTTATGGATTCCTCTACCAAGGATGCGTTTTTGGCGGCCATTACTCTGCTTAGTGCTTCTCTTTCGCTTACTGGTGGATTTGCACTCTTGTTAACCTACTACAAGATACCAGAATTCCAAAACTCTGTCCGAAAACTTCTGGTTTTTCTAACTATAGCTGATATTTTTACAGCATTGGGTTATATTATTGGCACTGTTAACTTTCTTCGTCTGGATGCTCAGCAGAGAAATTCTACAGATTCACTATGCATTGCTCAGAGTTTTATCACAACCTTTTCTAGCCTAAGTTCTTTTGCGTGGACATCCATTATTGCGGTTCATCTATACGTGTTAATACGGACACAAAGAGACTTCCAAAGGAACCGGTCTCTAAAGATCTTGTATCATTTTTCAGGTTGGGCTATCCCAGGTAGGCTTTTTAAAAACTATTTGTGTATAATGCATTGGACGGAATATGTATCGCTTTTCAAATTTGTTTATCATCTGCGTCTTTTGTCTGATAAGATAAGTTCAACTCTGTCATATTTTAAAAAGTAAACTTATGTCTAATGACCAAAGCAAAATAAATCCTATTAAACATCGAATGTAAACCATACTGCCACAATTTTTGAAACCTAAAATTGCAGACAATTCCGGGGGTTCCAAAAATGTAAATATCAGCATCAAATTATTAATTTTTGAAGATGCAGTTTCATACTGCAACGGTGTGTGCAAACAATTTGTTTACACATACCATGATTGCACTTATATTAGTAAGACTACGTGCTAAAAATATGTACATGAAAGCCTTCTGCTATCTTTTTGATTTTGTTGATTGCAGCCATTATTTGTATTCCTGTCCTGGCTGAAGACAAGCTCGGCCGAGACCACCACGGACAAAAAACAGGCACAGGTTTGTGGTGTTGGATCAAGATAAACAACACTGACGGGAAAATCCACTCACGTGACATAGTGCTGATGTTTATGACCGGAAAATTCTGGGAACTTCTGACATACGTTTTATCGTTTTCTATATACATGATTTTGAAAATAAACACGTACATCGAGGTAAGGTGGTCGACTTTATAAAGTTTCTTATAGTTTTATTTGATATGTAAATTTTTGCAATAAAAAGGATTATTTTTTTTAGAGACAAAAAGATAAAAGCTACTCCTGGAGAGATGTAGGCGGTGAGAATCTTAGAAATGAAGATGAACGATTCTGTTTCACGTGGCTCATTCTCTATTTACTTCGATTTTGGGGAACAATGAGATTCTTCATCGAAATTTCTAAAACAGAATCCGACAAAGCAGATGCTGTAGACGATATACTCAAATATTTCCACTGTGCAGGGGACAGTGCGCAAGCGTTAGGAAACTTTATTCTGTTTTGTTTGCTCGACAAAAATATCAGGGGAAAATATCATGAAATGATTGGTTACTGTTGTAATAGACATGAGAGAAATGATTTACTGAAGACACCCTTTCCAGATTCAGGGAATTATCAGAGTATACCACAGTCGTGAGCAGAATCAGCAGAAGACAAGAGAAGTTTATTATATCTGTTCAAAGTGAATATTTTTATGAAGAATAACTGATTATTCATTAAATATAGTTACTAAGTATAGGTATTGCCGTTGAGCGGTTGAGACATTTACAAGGGGGCATTCAATATTGAATGCTCGCATTTGGAATGTTTCGAGGCATACTCGTATACGTATTGCAAATTCAGCGTTCAATGAAACGCCAAGATATTGAACGCTAATTTTTTTGTATTTTTTTTTATCATAGACTATTTATTGGCCATATAAATTTCTTTACTGAACGTTGCAGATGAGAATAAATAAAATTTCTGGTTTCATAAATTTATTATAACATATACATGATAAATTAAAGAAAGTATGATTTTTTTATAATTTGACGAAAGAGGACTTGGGGCCTGACAAATAACCGTCTTTTTTACAGTTGTGTGCATTTTCAAGTACATGTATAGGCAATTTTGATACTGATACCATTAATGATATCTCATGTTAAAAAAATCATTGCTTACCCTCTAATCCTAAGATCCCAGTTCGTGATTTTGAACGTTTTTTCAACCAAAAGGAATTCGCCTATATAGATAAATTAATGAATTACAAATTACTGTTTTCTAATGATTCAAAAAGATAAAATATCTTTACATTTAGGATATGTCAATTTTGTAAAGCCACTGTTTTGGTGTTCTTAATTAATTTTTTATTTGAATTTTTATTTTTATTTATTTATTTATTTATTTGTTTATTTTTTTTAGTTTTTTTTTTTTTAGTTTTTTTCAAAAAGTAGGAAATTATTATGGTCCAGTTATGTTGCACTTATATTGTCATACACATATCACGATATTGACATCATACATAGAAGTAAAAAAAGATATGTATTTTATCAGTTTTAATGCGCAGTTTATCTGGAAGATAAAGTGTACAAATATACTTATTTATTGGCTAGTGACTATCCAATAGAATCCTTTTAAATAATAGCAACATACTTGAATAATAAGAACAAATATTTTAAAAAGGTATCGTATTGATTATGAAAGATAAATATTTAAATGCAATACATCCTAAGACATTCCAAAAATGCACTATATTAAGGATTAAATGAAAATATATTTATTGTCATAAATATCAACATTTAAGATTAATTCAACAGAACATTATTTTAAATAACTGGCTATCTGCATATGAGAATCGCGCTAAAATAGAACCTTCAGCAGTGAGCTTATCTTATCAACAAAAAAAGCAGATACATGAATGACAGGATGCAGGAAGTTTATAAGCTGACCATTGCTTTATACGGTTAAAATTTACTCACAAACATGAGAGAGGATACTTTGATATCGGTAGTTACTATAGTCAGTGGAACTGCTTCTATTCTTGGTGGAATAGCTCTCATTTTGTCACATACCTTCATCAAGCGGTTACATTTCGTTCGGATTCTGTTGATATGTCTCACGTTTGCCGACATTTTACAGGCGGGTGGGGCAGTTTTGGGAACAACAAATTATCTGACATTAAGTGAACAGAAGAGAGGCGATTCTGATTCATTCTGCGTCGTTCAGAGCTTTATAACGACATTTTCTAGCGTTTCGTCATTTATGTGGACTTCTGTGATAACAATTCATCTGTTCTACTGTTTTATGAAACAAATTCAGGAGACATCGAAGTACATTGTCCTTTTATATCATATCGCAGGATGGTTGGTACCAGGCAAGTCATATATATATATATATATATATATATATATATATATATATATATATATATATATATATATATATATATATATATATATATACATTTTTTTAATGACAATTTTGAATAGATCACTTCAATCTCTATCATTTATGATATGATAATGATATGTTGTATCATGATTTTATGCTATAGTCTCTTTTTACACACAGTGATCATTTCTATTGTTGCTCTTGTGTGCGGAAAGCTTGGACGTGGGACTTTCAATAGGGGTACAAAAGATCAAGACCCTGGAATGATAGCCAGTGGTCAGTGGTGTTGGATAAAGGTGAACGCAACCAAGATCACCCCCACAGACACAGCCTTTATGTTTCTTGCTGGGAAAGGATGGGAATTTGCAACATATCTTATAGCCGGAACTTTGTATATAATACTTATGATGAAAACTTATCTGAGGGTAAATACATGTTACATTGTATTGCAATGATAATGGTTTTATTTTATTTTCCTTGTGATTATAAGTTGATATTTTAATCCTGGTAAAAAATAATCTGGTCTATTGTAGAGGAGGCGAAATATCCCAAGCCTTTGGAATTCAGGTATTGTAAAGGAAGAGGATGAACGGTTCTGTTACACGCCTTTCATCCTGTATCTCTTAAGGATATGGGGATCAACAAGATTCATCTTTACAATTACTAAAGCATATGAAAATCATGCTATAGTCAAAGCAGATTCTGTTCTGGTGTATTTTCATTGTATAGGAGATAGTACACAAGCGTTTGCCAACTTTCTTCTATTTTGTGTTTTTGATAAAGATTTTCGGAAACAATACTTCAATGAGTGTTGCAATAGAGGAGAGGAGGAAACACAATTGATACCCTACGAATAGCAATCTTGATACGCTACAAAGAGCAAAATGAATTAGAAACAAATCTTTGATATTACTGTAATGTTTATAACGACAAAAATTACAGAGTAAAGAATTTAAAAGCAATCAGGACTATTATGTATACTGTAATTGAATTCTTGATCACAACTAATTTTAAAGTCTTTAATTATATCTAACGATGAAAATAATAGTTCTAAACTTGTATATAGCTGAGTCAGTTTTCGTTCATTGGCTTTATAGTTATAGACGAATTCAGCTGAAAATGAAGCGAATACTTTTATGTCAATCAGACAGGTGCCACTTAAAGAGAAGCAGGACACGTCAAATGACTCAATTGACTATGTCAAAGTATCTGTTAATAAAGATGCTAAACGTTGTTAAAATCATCAGTAGCTGTGCAATTTATTTACAACTTGTTAAGCTTCAACACTTAATATAAAAATATTTAAAAGCTTTGAAGTAAAAAAGTTTTTGCAGCAATACCAAGTACACATTGCTTACACTGTAATTTTTACTGTATAAAATCAGGTAACATGCAGTTAATGCTTGTGATGATTTTTTGGAAACAGGGAATACAATCACAATTTTTGTGTGATTGGTAGCAGAGATGCTATGTATTTATATTCCACTTCGCTTTTTTAGTTTCCATGTGACGTCATAATATAAACAAGAAGCATTTTTATCATGCTTACAGTCAAAAGACAAAATCATTCTCCATCTCTGCGCAAAATGCGTTACGATTTCTCGCTTGTTCTCTAAAGTAAGGCTGAGTGCTATTACTAGACAGAAGATTTTTCTGTTCTATTTTTATCGTTGTGATGTGATGTTAAAATTTATAAACGATATTTTTGCCGTCTGCTATATTATTTGTCAATAAATAATATAAAAACAACATCCATCCATGAGTCGGAAGGGGAAAAAATTAGATTCTTCCGTCCGAAGTATGGTGTGAATGCATATAGAAAGAATAGAAATACATCATAATTGGAGAGGGTTAGAAATTCCAAGGTAGTATTGTGAAAAAGTTATATGAAACAGGACAGGTAGAAAATCGATGAGGAAGGGGAAATTTGCTGGGTGTAGAGATGTTGATCATAAATTAATTCAGTACAAGTATATTTGTTATTTATATTATTATAAAATTATTTAATATATTTATATATTAATGTGTTTATTTAAAATCCATAAGATGAGAGAAAAATGAAGTGGAAAGCTCACTTCCTTACTTGTTAAACAATACCTTTTGCAAGGGAGGAGGGAGGAGGATGTGTCATTCATTAATGCTGCAAATTAACTGAAATTTGCAATCAAAGAAATTAAATTAAATGCATTAAATTACAGCAGAACACATTGACACATACATGTGAATTCATACAACATTGAAATCAACTCACATCTACCTGTATAATCTAAGGATACACCTGAGTAACTTCAAGACCTAGATTCCAACCTATTGTGATACTTGTTAGACCAAATTGTATACCCTATTTAGCTATCCAGCAAGCTATTGAAAACTTTACTGGTATTTTGTAATTCGCTGTAATCGTGAATGGGATAAATGGGTGTTAAGTGATAAAAGCCAGATAGAAATTGGAATAAATAAGAAAGTTTAAATAAGGAGAAAAGACGATGAAAAATACAGTGCCAGGTTTGCCCGCCATCTCGACGACATTTGATGATCATGATCTATGGTTGTGAGTGTATAAAAGTAGCGGGAACTTTAACTAATGTAGAAGGTAGCATAAATGCAAAAAATATATTGACATTTTAGATAATAACCTTTGGCCTGTTTTAGCCAGCCATTTTTCAGATATCCGGTATGTATTTATGACCGAGAATGCTCCCGGGAGGTTCAAAGAGCAAATTAATTAAAAAAATACATCACCAATAACAACATAATTACAACATCATGGCCTGCCCAGTCTATTGACCTCAATATTCTCAATAAGCTTTGCCTTTCCATATTGCTACAATTAATAATAATAGCAACATGCTTGAATAATAAGAGCAAATATTTTAAAAAGGTCTCGTATTGATTATAAAAGATAAATATTTAAATGCAGTACATCCTAAAATATTTCAAAAATGCACTATATTAAGGATTAAATGAAAATATATTTATTGTCATAAATATCAACATTTAAGATTAATTCAACAGAACATTATTTTAAATAACTGGCTATCTGCATATGAGAATCGCGCTAAAATAGAACCTTCAGCAGTGAGCTTATCTTATCAACAAAAAAGCAGATATGACAGGATGCAGGAAGTTTATAAGCTGACCATTGATTTAAAATTTACTCACAAACATGAGAGAGGATACTTTGATATCCGTAGTTACTATAGTCAGTGGAACTGCTTCTATTCTTGGTGGAATAGCTCTCATTTTGTCACATACCTTCATCAAGAGGTTACATTTTGTTCGGATTCTGTTGATATGCCTTACATTTGCCGACATTTTACAGGCGGGTGGGGCAGTTTTGGGAACAACAAACTATCTAGCATTAAGTGAACAGAAGAGAGGCGATTCTGATTCATTCTGCGTCGTTCAGAGCTTTATAACGACATTTTCTAGCGTTTCGTCATTTATGTGGACTTCTGTGATAACAATTCATCTTTTTTACTGTTTTATGAAACAAATTCAAGAGACATCGAAGTACCTTGTCTTTTTATATCATGTTGCAGGATGGATAGTACCAGGT